AGACCTTTCAGTCGCGACCCGTCCCATGCGCTCCTCTGTCGCAGCTCTTCCGTCGCTTCGCCAACAGGGATCGTTTGTATGAGATTTTCAAGACGTTGCTTCTTTGTCTCGAGTTCCTCAAGCACTGATTGCTGATCGTTGAGATTGTGTGGTATCTCTTCAGGTTGTTGCTGTAGACTTTCGGAAATGAGAAGAATCTCAGGCGCAACTGACTTCAACTGCGCAATCTGTTCGATATCCTTCTTCTTCTCATCACATTCCTTCTTCAATCGCATAACTTCCGAGACAAAGAAGCAACGTCTTGAAAATCTCATACAAACGATCCCTGTTGGCGAAGCGACGGAAGAGCTGCGACAGAGGAGCGCATGGGATCTGTCGAGACTGAAAGATCTACTGAAAAGGCTTGGTGATTCAGTTGGAGATAAGCTTGCTGCGTTAGCTGCATTCAATGTTGCACGCAAAGATGCTGAAGATCAACTGTTGATGATCACTAGCCCAGAAAGTGACGATAGAACACCTGATGATTTGAAAAAGGACGAAGAATCGCTTCAAAGACTTCAGCAGAGTATTTCTCAACTTGACAGTAGCGATCTGGATGATGAACAACGTGATGAACATGCCCAACTGTTGGATCGCATCAATAGGACGCTAGCTATCCTAAAGGTACATTATTGGACTGATAATTCATGTGGAGGATTTTTAATATTTTTCTTGATTTACTTTCGTGAAATTGGTGCAATACTTTTTTTCTCTGGTATCATTATTAGTGTGTGTGTGCGTATGTGTACATGTGTAAAAAAGTAGAACAATTATTTTTCTGTCTTAATTCTTATAAAATCGATATATGCACATATTTTTGTGTAAAAAAAATAAGATGATTACTAAAATGAAAGAATGGATATATCGGTAGAAAACCTTAGGAGTGCTTAGATTGACAACAATTTAGCGAACACTACTGTGTAGACATGTCATAGATTTAGAATTTTTGGCGAAAATTTCTCAATGAGTGTGCGTGTGTGTGTGTGGGAGATGAGCGAACGTTTAATTAATTTCGCTCAAAATCTGAAAATTTGTCTAAAGGGTTGGACTGATAGGACCTGATTGTATACGATGTGGATATGTGGTGATTTCAGCAACGTCGAAGCGATATAGAAGCAGAGATTGCCCAGCGTACGGCCGATGAAGCGCTAAGAGATGCAATCGCTCCGGTGACGAATCGTCTTGCTCAACTTGTCAATGATGCTGATCGCTTGTTAGGAGATGCCGAAGGAGTACCAGCACAATATAGACCAAGTGCTGAAGAGCTGAGCAATGAATGCAAGAAAGCTGTTGAACTTCTACGGAACGCTCCTAAGACTCATCCATCCGTGGAAACTCTTGAAACTGCGCTTTCATCCGCTGAGAACATGATTCCAGTTCTAGAGGAACGTGCGAATAATTGGGATGAATTTGTGAAGGTGAGGGATGAAGCCGATGTTGAATTGGACAAATTGAGGCAACCACTTGATGAAGTGTTGGCGAAACCACGTAGAACAATCAACGATGCCAAACTTGACTTTGATGTAATATCTGCCGAACGTCAAAAATCTCATATACTCGATGGTAAAGTTCGTCGACTTCAAGAACTCTCGGAACTGCTTGATCCTTTGGACAGCGCCTACGCTGACGTTCGTTTCATCGACGTTGACGCGGAACAGACAGTGCAACAATACGATGATGTGCTGAATGAGTTGTCGAGTGAAATCGAAGACGAAAGCCTGCTATGCGATTCAGTCGATCATTTTATCACTGAAATGAACGCTATTTGTGAATCGCTTGCTAAGCAACCAACAAAGGAGACTATTGAGAACATAGAACAGTTCCAAATTCCAGCATTACGAGCACAACTTTCGATGCTACAACAGAAACATGATGAAGCCAATCACGGTCGTAAGCATGTTGATCCAGACTCGTCGCGCTTGTCGATTTTGAACGATCGTATGGGTTCGTTGGATGCGTTACTCCGCGATGCGAAAGCATCGACAGAGAAGGACGAACAGGATCGCCTCAACGAACGACTTCGAATCGGAATATTCGAATTACAATCGATACCTCTTCGTGATTTATCTGAAAAGTCGTTGGATGACATCGAGAAAGAAATCCATGTTCTGCCAAGTGAAAACGCAGAACCACTTCAGAAGCAGATCGACGACATGCGTAAGTCGAAGAAACAACATGACGATGACCTACGACAAGCACAAGAACGTTTGGCTATGATCGAAGATGCGATCGCAACGCTTCCATCTACACGTGATATTGAGACACTTGAAGCGAATTTGGGACGTATGCGAGACGCTCGAGATAGTTTAGCGAATGTATCACCAGATCTGTTAGCTGAAGAGAATATTGGGAACAGAGTGGAGGATCTGAGAAAAACCATTGACGATTTATCGAAACGTGATGAAGAAGAGCTACAGAAGATGCTAATTGATCGTGATACTCGCAACAACGCCATCGAGTCATTGGAGCAAATTCAGCGTGAAGTGGAAGAGCTGGAGAAAGCCCTACCAATAACGTTGCCGTCTTCATCTGATTTAATTGATTTCCAACAAGCTAGAACACCAAAGCTACTCTCCAAACTCGATGCAATATCTGATGTTCCAGTCGATTTGCTACCAAAGAAAGAAGATCTTTCAAATCGAATCGACATGATTAACAAGAAATTAGACGATCAAGTGCATGAAATGGAGGATTTCGAACAGAAAACTGTTGACTTGCAAAACGTTGTTGATGAATGCCGTGGTAAACTGAGAATTCGTGATACACCTGCTCCTATCGATGATGTGACTAAGGATGAGCAAGATCTGTCAGCAATTCTTGTCGCTGTCGATTCAATTCCACAAGAAGATCTTTCACCGAGGAATCAATTGGCTCGAGATGTGAACAATATTAAAGAACAAGTGAAGGTGATTTTCGTTAACATCTGTGTCCTTTCTTTGTAGTGTTTTTCTTTTATGGGAAATTTTCTTTTACGATCAGGGAATCTAGGGTGGAATACTTTCAGGGTCAATTGGCAACCTTGCGGAAAGCTCTACCGGATGAAATGAAAGCACGTCAACAACAAGATGAACTCAAGGATCGCCTATCAAGTATTGCTGATGCTTTGACAAGAGTCGATCCTGAGAATTTGGAATCAGCTAAGCAACAAATGGCATCAATTGATACTGAACTACAGAAACTGAGTGGTGTCGCGGATGCGTATCAGCAATTCGCTACCAGCCCATCATCAGTTGTCAGTCACGATGATCTCGATAAGACTCTACCGGAACAAGTGCAGAAGTTGAAGAAGGAATGTGATGAGAAGAAGAAGGATATCGAACAGATTGCGCAGTTGAAGTCAGTTGCGCCTGAGATTCTTCTCATTTCCGAAAGTCTACAGCAACAACCTGAAGAGATACCACACAATCTCAACGATCAGCAATCAGTGCTTGAGGAACTCGAGACAAAGAAGCAACGTCTTGAAAATCTCATACAAACGATCCCTGTTGGCGAAGCGACGGAAGAGCTGCGACAGAGGAGCGCATGGGATCTGTCGAGACTGAAAGATCTACTGAAAAGGCTTGGTGATTCAGTTGGAGATAAGCTTGCTGCGTTAGCTGCATTCAATGTTGCACGCAAAGATGCTGAAGATCAACTGTTGATGATCACTAGCCCAGAAAGTGACGATAGAACACCTGATGATTTGAAAAAGGACGAAGAATCGCTTCAAAGACTTCAGCAGAGTATTTCTCAACTTGACAGTAGCGATCTGGATGATGAACAACGTGATGAACATGCCCAACTGTTGGATCGCATCAATAGGACGCTAGCTATCCTAAAGGTACATTATTGGACTGATAATTCATGTGGAGGATTTTTAATATTTTTCTTGATTTACTTTCGTGAAATTGGTGCAATACTTTTTTTCTCTGGTATCATTATTAGTGTGTGTGTGCGTATGTGTACATGTGTAAAAAAGTAGAACAATTATTTTTCTGTCTTAATTCTTATAAAATCGATATATGCACATATTTTTGTGTAAAAAAAATAAGATGATTACTAAAATGAAAGAATGGATATATCGGTAGAAAACCTTAGGAGTGCTTAGATTGACAACAATTTAGCGAACACTACTGTGTAGACATGTCATAGATTTAGAATTTTTGGCGAAAATTTCTCAATGAGTGTGCGTGTGTGTGTGTGGGGAGATGAGCGAACGTTTAATTAATTTCGCTCAAAATCTGAAAATTTGTCTAAAGGGTTGGACTGATAGGACCTGATTGTATACGATGTGGATATGTGGTGATTTCAGCAACGTCGAAGCGATATAGAAGCAGAGATTGCCCAGCGTACGGCCGATGAAGCGCTAAGAGATGCAATCGCTCCGGTGACGAATCGTCTTGCTCAACTTGTCAATGATGCTGATCGCTTGTTAGGAGATGCCGAAGGAGTACCAGCACAATATAGACCAAGTGCTGAAGAGCTGAGCAATGAATGCAAGAAAGCTGTTGAACTTCTACGGAACGCTCCTAAGACTCATCCATCCGTGGAAACTCTTGAAACTGCGCTTTCATCCGCTGAGAACATGATTCCAGTTCTAGAGGAACGTGCGAATAATTGGGATGAATTTGTGAAGGTGAGGGATGAAGCCGATGTTGAATTGGACAAATTGAGGCAACCACTTGATGAAGTGTTGGCGAAACCACGTAGAACAATCAACGATGCCAAACTTGACTTTGATGTAATATCTGCCGAACGTCAAAAATCTCATATACTCGATGGTAAAGTTCGTCGACTTCAAGAACTCTCGGAACTGCTTGATCCTTTGGACAGCGCCTACGCTGACGTTCGTTTCATCGACGTTGACGCGGAACAGACAGTGCAACAATACGATGATGTGCTGAATGAGTTGTCGAGTGAAATCGAAGACGAAAGCCTGCTATGCGATTCAGTCGATCATTTTATCACTGAAATGAACGCTATTTGTGAATCGCTTGCTAAGCAACCAACAAAGGAGACTATTGAGAACATAGAACAGTTCCAAATTCCAGCATTACGAGCACAACTTTCGATGCTACAACAGAAACATGATGAAGCCAATCACGGTCGTAAGCATGTTGATCCAGACTCGTCGCGCTTGTCGATTTTGAACGATCGTATGGGTTCGTTGGATGCGTTACTCCGCGATGCGAAAGCATCGACAGAGAAGGACGAACAGGATCGCCTCAACGAACGACTTCGAATCGGAATATTCGAATTACAATCGATACCTCTTCGTGATTTATCTGAAAAGTCGTTGGATGACATCGAGAAAGAAATCCATGTTCTGCCAAGTGAAAACGCAGAACCACTTCAGAAGCAGATCGACGACATGCGTAAGTCGAAGAAACAACATGACGATGACCTACGACAAGCACAAGAACGTTTGGCTATGATCGAAGATGCGATCGCAACGCTTCCATCTACACGTGATATTGAGACACTTGAAGCGAATTTGGGACGTATGCGAGACGCTCGAGATAGTTTAGCGAATGTATCACCAGATCTGTTAGCTGAAGAGAATATTGGGAACAGAGTGGAGGATCTGAGAAAAACCATTGACGATTTATCGAAACGTGATGAAGAAGAGCTACAGAAGATGCTAATTGATCGTGATACTCGCAACAACGCCATCGAGTCATTGGAGCAAATTCAGCGTGAAGTGGAAGAGCTGGAGAAAGCCCTACCAATAACGTTGCCGTCTTCATCTGATTTAATTGATTTCCAACAAGCTAGAACACCAAAGCTACTCTCCAAACTCGATGCAATATCTGATGTTCCAGTCGATTTGCTACCAAAGAAAGAAGATCTTTCAAATCGAATCGACATGATTAACAAGAAATTAGACGATCAAGTGCATGAAATGGAGGATTTCGAACAGAAAACTGTTGACTTGCAAAACGTTGTTGATGAATGCCGTGGTAAACTGAGAATTCGTGATACACCTGCTCCTATCGATGATGTGACTAAGGATGAGCAAGATCTGTCAGCAATTCTTGTCGCTGTCGATTCAATTCCACAAGAAGATCTTTCACCGAGGAATCAATTGGCTCGAGATGTGAACAATATTAAAGAACAAGTGAAGGTGATTTTCGTTAACATCTGTGTCCTTTCTTTGTAGTGTTTTTCTTTTATGGGAAATTTTCTTTTACGATCAGGGAATCTAGGGTGGAATACTTTCAGGGTCAATTGGCAACCTTGCGGAAAGCTCTACCGGATGAAATGAAAGCACGTCAACAACAAGATGAACTCAAGGATCGCCTATCAAGTATTGCTGATGCTTTGACAAGAGTCGATCCTGAGAATTTGGAATCAGCTAAGCAACAAATGGCATCAATTGATACTGAACTACAGAAACTGAGTGGTGTCGCGGATGCGTATCAGCAATTCGCTACCAGCCCATCATCAGTTGTCAGTCACGATGATCTCGATAAGACTCTACCGGAACAAGTGCAGAAGTTGAAGAAGGAATGTGATGAGAAGAAGAAGGATATCGAACAGATTGCGCAGTTGAAGTCAGTTGCGCCTGAGATTCTTCTCATTTCCGAAAGTCTACAGCAACAACCTGAAGAGATACCACACAATCTCAACGATCAGCAATCAGTGCTTGAGGAACTCGAGACAAAGAAGCAACGTCTTGAAAATCTCATACAAACGATCCCTGTTGGCGAAGCGACGGAAGAGCTGCGACAGAGGAGCGCATGGGATCTGTCGAGACTGAAAGATCTACTGAAAAGGCTTGGTGATTCAGTTGGAGATAAGCTTGCTGCGTTAGCTGCATTCAATGTTGCACGCAAAGATGCTGAAGATCAACTGTTGATGATCACTAGCCCAGAAAGTGACGATAGAACACCTGATGATTTGAAAAAGGACGAAGAATCGCTTCAAAGACTTCAGCAGAGTATTTCTCAACTTGACAGTAGCGATCTGGATGATGAACAACGTGATGAACATGCCCAACTGTTGGATCGCATCAATAGGACGCTAGCTATCCTAAAGGTACATTATTGGACTGATAATTCATGTGGAGGATTTTTAATATTTTTCTTGATTTACTTTCGTGAAATTGGTGCAATACTTTTTTTCTCTGGTATCATTATTAGTGTGTGTGCGTATGTGTGCATTTCCGTTTGTACAAGAGAAGAATTAATTTCTAGTTTCAATTCGAAATCAGTGCTCTTCGTTGCAGAACTATACGACATTCCTCAACTTTTGAATTTTTGAAGCTGCCGGAAACCTAACGGAAATTGGCTTGTCGTTCTAGTTGGCGTACAAAGAAACCTACAGTAGAGGATCTCGATGCAGTTTTATGAACTTCCAGAAGTTGAAGGACAAAAAGATAAAATAACAGCCGTGGGAAAAACATATGACATATCCCAAAAGTTTGACATTTTTTGCTCCAGCAAAAACTTTCCTCATTATTTGCAGTCATTGCAGTGCAGTATTGAGACACTATCATCTCGAGTAGTCTATATGACATGCTTTCTAGAAACTTTCTTAGGTCTCCTCCTGAGTTCTTGTGTAGTCCTGGAGTTTTTACAGGGGTGGAATCGTGGCGGTTGCTGTAGATATAAGGACAAGAAAAAGGATGCCTCATAAGCTTCCTATCGAATTTAGACCTGGTTAGCATTGGATCGTACTATACACAATGCGCTAACTATGTCCGTATGTATGTGTGTGCGTGTGTGCGCCCCTCTGTCAGAAATTCGTAGTTCGCTTCGCTGGAGCCACTAAGCGCTGTATTCTAAGTACCAGTTCAGCTGCGCAAATGGCGAAAATGACGTAGTGAAAGCCAGCGTTGCTGCCACACGGTCACGTGGTCAGGTGATCCCTCAACATAGTTCCTTGTGTGTAAAAGCATTTAATTCAACCAGTTTAGCTCCGCACGCAACTGCGTGCATGATACGGAAGGGCTCAGCAAAGCTGGAGAGGGGGTGAAGCATTAGGTTACGCTGCTGAATTGTAAGTTACTTCGTGAAACGCGTTAGCTGGCCGTCTCATAAGTTGCCCGTTTAAGCTCACTGTCTCATACGCGCGGTGGGATGCAGAGCTAGCGATCCTTGGTATGTGTATACAACCACCAAAGGTCGGGCGTCAGGATGATTTAATGATTCAACTTCAAGCGAATAGATCAATACATATCTAATCTTGTCAGCGCACTATCCTAATCTACTACTATCCTAATCTCCTACTCTACTACTATCCTACTATCGTAATATCGCAATCTACTACTCTCCAGCGATTTCAATCGATACGTATCTAATCTTGTCAGCGCAATCTCCTACTCTACTACTATCCTAATCTACTACTATCCTAATCTCCCCGTCAATACATATGTTTTTCATTGTCGCGTACTATCCTAATCTCCGGAGTCGCGAACTATGAACGCGGCCTAAATAACCATCATGCACTCCATATCACGAAGTTGGATGAGGCGTGTCTGTGGATTTGATGTGGCCGTTGCCGCATTTGATAGAAGCCGTGTAAATAAGCTGTTTCTAAAACACTGCTGGATATCAGCAAAGCATGCTGGAAGCACCTTATCAGCGCAACTCCTTCCCAAGTGCGGCGGCCGCTACGTCAAAACCCACAACACGCCTAATCAGACTTCAATATATGGAGTATAAGTTATTACATCCATATTACACTATTAAGGACCTCACTTCCTGTTGGGACACGCGCTACAAATTTTATGAAATTTGCGTTTTCACGCTCTTATAGGCCCTTATCACTTCTTATCCCCTACCAAACACGTTCCCATCCAAACGTGCAACATCACCACTTGGAATCAAAGCCCGCCCACTGCTGCTGGGACGCGCGCTACGAATTTCGTCAAATTTGTGTTTCAGCGCCTCTTATCCCTTATCAGCCTTGTCACTTCCTTTATTCCACCGAACATGTTGCTTTCCCACCCTGTACATCATACTCAAAACTTATGCTCCATGCCTGAAGCGAAGCACGCTGTGAATTTCGACATACAGACGGAGGTACACGCGGACGCGCACGCGCAAACAGGCATACTTAGAGAATTATATAGTTGGGGTGATGTAGGAGGTAGGACGATAACATACTTGGTGGGGGTGGAAAAGTGATAACGATTGATAAGAGCTGATAAGATGAACTTAAACAATAAGAGCTGATAAGAGGAGCTAGAACGTAAATTCCACGAAATTCATAGCGCGCCTCCCAACAGCAGTCCCGGGACATTGGTTCTAAGAGGTGATGTATAGAGTAGGACGGGAACATACAGTAGCGGTCAAAAGTTTGGAAACTTTTTTATTTTTGATCTAGCGCGGCCGATACACAACGAAATTGTCCCAAATTTAGATATTCCATACAAAATCGAGTTCAGAATACGACGGGAAGAACAATTTCCAAAAACCTATAATCATATTTGAGAAATAAGATTTTTTCAAGTAATGGCGGCGTCAAAAGTTTGGAAACTTTTTTATTTTTGATCTAGCGCGGCCGATACACAACGAAATTGTCCCAAATTTAGATATTCCATACAAAATCGAGTTCAGAATACGACGGGAAGAACAATTTCCAAAAACCTATAATCATATTTGAGAAATAAGATTTTTTTCAAGTAATGGCGCGTCAAAAGTTTGGAAACTTTTTGTTTCCCTTATCAGTATGATTCCTACTCTTCAATGTTTACTTGTTTCTGTTAATTTTAGTTAAACCATTGAGCAATGTGTAATTTCAAAATGAATTCATATGCAAAGAAAGCAGTTTTTCCATGGGGGTCCTTTTTTAAACCCTACAATCCGGAATACGAAATTGAAACTGATTCTTAGTAGTTCAGTCTCTACGGAAGCAATATTATCGGATGTTTCTAGCGTTATTGGAGTCGAGTAAGCATAAGAAGAATGATCATTCACAAAAAGTATCTTCACAAGAAAGTTGGTCCTCTTCAAATACTTCGAAAGGTGGTTGGCACGTCCCGTGCCCCAACATTCCCAACAAAGAGACAACTTTTTTTCAATCATATAAAAGTCCAAGTGCACGCCATCGGCCGCGCCCTGGTGAATATTACATATGATGTCCCAACAAGAAGCCGTTGTTGTGGCTTCAAGGGCAGGATGGCCCAACTGGCTTCCGCACTCTAACGGCTAACATGAACCGGAGCCAAGAGGTGAAACTTTGTCCTCAGCGACGAATGAGATTTCTATCTTCCTAGAAATAATATAGTGGACCCTGTGAAGTGTTTTGTCAAATGGGAACCTCATTTTGAGTATGAGATTCCAACAGTCAGAAATAGTGGAAGTACTGTCATGGATGAACATGTGTCCGACCATTCGGCGATTCCACAGTTCTAGGTATCCAGCGAAATGTGGGTTGGGCTAAGTACAAGTATAGTCTGTAGAATACAATGCTTACTTCGATAGTCAGAACTGGCCGGAAAAGATGGGTTTTCTATCGGAAAATGACCCGATGCAGGCCTACCTCCTCCTGCCGCCTTCCTAAACCCAGAAAAAGAAGCTGCTATGAAGCGACCAAGTCAAGATCTGAAGTCTAATTGAGTTCTACATCTCACGGAAAAAGTGGCATGTCGCTCTACCCACGTTCCAGTTAAGAATCCCACCAAACAATGTGCTTTAGTTCACAGTGTATGAGGTCCGACTTAAAAATCCTAAAATTATTTTATAATCAATACCATGTCAATAAAAACGACGCTAAGATAGAAATTTAAAGCTACTCATCAAATAACTAATTTATCATGTGGATTTGAGAGCTATTTTGCCGAATTCGCTTTAGAATTCGGAAGTTTCCAAACTTTTGACGCGCCATTTCCTATAAAAATTCGTATTTTTCAAATGCGATTTCAGTTTTCAAAAAATCATGTTACCCATCGTAATCTACACTAGATTCTGAATATAATATGTGAATTCGGGGCAATTTCATTGTCTATTGGCTACGCTAGATCAAAAATAAAAAAGTTTCCAAACTTTTGACCGCTACTATATTTGATGGGGGCCAGGAAGCGATATTGACTGACAAAAGCTGATAAGGGGGCTAGAGAGCATTTGTCATCGAATTAATAGAACGAATCTCAACAGCAGTGAGGCTTTGTTCCAACAACTTATGGAGAGGATCGTAGATGGAGGATAGAAGTCGAGGGCAGGGCCATATATAACCAGTTGGCGCCGCACGCATTGCGCGCACAACACAGATCTGCGGCGAATTTTGATGGTGCGACGAAAATTTTCAAATTTGGCTTGATACACCACGAATATCTGAATTCTCAGCTAAATTCTATCCGCTCCATCATCGACGGCTTTCAACCTCTTTTTCTTCGTCAACCATTATCCTCTTTTTCCCGGTCTCCGGACTGCTTCCGGACAATAAATCTCGTGGCAAACTCCGCCTACTTCGGTGCGTGCCCCGCCCACCAATAGCATTTGGCCCCCTTCCTTTCGCCGACCTCTACCCCTTTTTTCACCGGTCTCTGGGACCTCTTGGAACCAAATTACGACACTTTTGGCAAACTCCGCCCACTTTAGGCGTGCTCCGCCCACCGATGACAGCTGGCCTCCACTCCTCCACCCACCTCTATCCACCTTTTTCCCGCCTCCGGGACTTCTTGGAGCCGAGTTATGAATTTTCGTCGCAAACTCCGCCCACTTTGGTCAAGCCCCGCCCACCGATGACAGCTGGCCTCCACTCCTCCACCCACCTCTATCCACCTTTTTTCCAGTCTCCGGGACTTCTTTGAACCGAGTTATGAATTTTCATTGCAAACTCCGCCCACTTTGTCACGGATCTCCGCACCACCGATGTACAGCTGGCCTCGCACTCGCTCCACCCACACTGTGACTCACCTTTTCCCGGCTCATCAAGAGCTTTCCTCTAAAAACCTGAATTTGTAGACACGGCGAGGTTCATCGAATGGTAGAATATGTTCCTTTTTAGCGGAAGCTTTCCAAGTCAACCGAATTTCCCAATTGTGTTCATTCCTAGATTTCCTAGTTTTGATAACCTTGGGCATAGAAAAAGTGTAGTAGAAATAAATACACACCGACACATATAGCGAGATATATGTTTTGGTGGAGCAACCGTGTCAGAAATAATTTTGAGGTTCACTACAGCAAAAGCAACTGAAACTTGCCTTTCATTGCGGGAAAACGTCAATTCGATCGAAGTTTCACAGTTGCTCTCTGATAAGTTTGATACATCGAATATCATTCGAAAAATTTCGTTGTATCCGAGTTTTGCGAAGCTAAGCTCGGAATCACAAATTTTATGTGAGGCGGCGGCGCCTGCGAAATCGATGTGGTCCCACGCCGCGCAAAAACCCAAAATGCGCGTTATCGTCAACATGTTAGAGCAACAGTCCCAGCAGGGTGGGCGTGGTCGGAAACGGCTGCAATCCCTCGGCCGATTCCCACTTCGGAGCTGTTCAGCCCCTAGTCAAGAACGTAAGAAGTGTGACTGAACAAAAACTCACCTTGGAAAGCCGCTAGGCAGGGAGCTGAAGTGGGCGTGGTCGGAATCGGCCAGGGGATTGCAGTCGTTTCCGACCACGCCCACCCTGCTGGGACTGTTGCTTTAACTCTGTGAGCGGTAGCGTGCGGAGTTAAACTGATTCGAATGAATTTTCATGAGAAGCTTCAAAACAAGTCACAGTCGGGTCGGTGACATCGATGACAGCATTGTACAGCTAAAAATATGCCGGCAACGACGATTCTGCATCGTAGACTTAAGCCGGTGGTGTTAGAGCACGTCGTCATACTCGGTAAATCTTTCAGCTTGTCGTGCAGATTGTACTCTTGGCTCTTCACCTAATAAAACCGAACAACCTGTTCGGCGTTTGATGTTACATGTTTCTTTTCGGCGAAAATATGGTCTTTCTAGCCAGCCTTATTTATGCGTTAGCACAAATATGATTTGGGTGAAATCCCATCTTCTTCCCGATGAGGAGCTCCAGTAATACTGCACGGCTTACAGTTGACTTGGCAAGCTGGTCGTGGCATCTCGTTATACGTAACAGGTTCGAGAGCAGGGTCAACCCTACGTTGGTACAAGTACCAACGGGGGGGTCGTACTTGGTTTAGCTTGGAGGGGGGTCGTACTATCTCGCTGGTCGGCGGATTTCTACTAATTGCCCTACTCATATTAGATGCTGGTACGGAAGGAAAGAGCAATTGGAACACAGAAGCTGAGTATGTGGGGGTCGTTGATCAATCGCCCATGAGGGGGGGGTCGTAAAATTTCCAAAAAGTACCAGCGGATAGGGTTTGGCCGTGGTTCAGATTGGTGGTGACCTAATGCTCATCGTGAAGGGCAGACGACGTCATATTCCGAAGACGGCGGGAGAGGGGGGGGCAATAACAGGTGGGCCTGCTTTTGCTCATGGCGGGAACATTAAAGGAATTTGCGTATTCATCAATGGCGGCACCCTGTGCGACGATATTGATGTGTGTCATGGGCAAGGTGACTTTTTCGCCATCCCTTCCCCCTCTCCTCCCCATGTACACCTAGATCTATCGCTAAAATTCCAGGCATCCTGCAAAAGGCGCCACTCGAAGGTCACATTGGGGTCTAGCGAGACTCACAAAATTCGGTAAGAAGCATGTCAGATCGACTCCTCAAGGTGTAGCGTCTCATGGTGCATTCGTAGATTATTTATCTGCAACATACTATACGACTGCAATGTTGCTCAAAAATTCGGCTGGCAAAAAAATATCAAATTTGGGCTATGCAGTATGGCTTCTCCTTTGCATTTTTTTTACCCTAAATTTCTGGAAGTTGATAATTTAAAATTTTTGGCAAAATCTCGGTGTGTGTGAAATGAGCAACTTTGGATTGGCCTACACCAAATTTCATTGTGTTCGAAGCTTGAACTAATAGAACCTCAAGTATACGACGTGAATATGTGGTGATTTCAGCAACGTCGAAGCGATATAGAAGCAGAGATTGCCCAGCGTATGGCCGATGAAGCGCTAAGAGATGCAATCGCTCCGGTGACGAATCGTCTTGCTCAACTTGTCAATGATGCTGATCGCTTGTTAGGAGATGCCGAAGGAGTACCAGCACAATATAGACCAAGTGCTGAAGAGCTGAGCAATGAATGCAAGAAAGCTGTTGAACTTCTACGGAACGCTCCTAAGACTCATCCATCCGTGGAAACTCTTGAAACTGCGCTTTCATCCGCTGAGAACATGATTCCAGTTCTAGAGGAACGTGCGAATAATTGGGATGAATTTGTGAAGGTGAGGGATGAAGCCGATGTTGAATTGGACAAATTGAGGCAACCACTTGATGAAGTGTTGGCGAAACCACGTAGAACAATCAACGATGCCAAACTTGACTTTGATGTAATATCTGCCGAACGTCAAAAATCTCATATACTCGATGGTAAAGTTCGTCGACTTCAAGAACTCTCGGAACTGCTTGATCCTTTGGACAGCGCCTACGCTGACGTTCGTTTCATCGACGTTGACGCGGAACAGACAGTGCAACAATACGATGATGTGCTGAATGAGTTGTCGAGTGAAATCGAAGACGAAAGCCTGCTATATGCGATTCAGTCGATCATTTTATCACTGAAATGAACGCTATTTGTGAATCGCTTGCTAAGCAACCAACAAAGGAGACTATTGAGAACATAGAACAGTTCCAAATTCCAGCATTACGAGCACAACTTTCGATGCTACAACAGAAACATGATGAAGCCAATCACGGTCGTAAGCATGTTGATCCAGACTCGTCGCGCTTGTCGATTTTGAACGATCGTATGGGTTCGTTGGATGCGTTACTCCGCGATGCGAAAGCATCGACAGAGAAGGACGAACAGGATCGCCTCAACGAACGACTTCGAATCGGAATATTCGAATTACAATCGATACCTCTTCGTGATTTATCTGAAAAGTCGTTGGATGACATCGAGAAAGAAATCCATGTGTTCTGCCAAGTGAAAACGCAGAACCACTTCAGAAGCAGATCGACGACATGCGTAAGTCGAAGAAACAACATGACGATGACCTACGACAAGCACAAGAACGTTTGGCTATGATCGAAGATGCGATCGCAACGCTTCCATCTACACGTGATATTGAGACACTTGAAGCGAATTTGGGACGTATGCGAGACGCTCGAGATAGTTTAGCGAATGTATCACCAGATCTGTTAGCTGAAGAGAATATTGGGAACAGAGTGGAGGATCTGAGAAAAACCATTGACGATTTATCGAAACGTGATGAAGAAGAGCTACAGAAGATGCTAATTGATCGTGATACTCGCAACAACGCCATCGAGTCATTGGAGCAAATTCAGCGTGAAGTGGAAGAGCTGGAGAAAGCCCTACCAATAACGTTGCCGTCTTCATCTGATTTAATTGATTTCCAACAAGCTAGAACACCAAAGCTACTCTCCAAACTCGATGCAATATCTGATGTTCCAGTCGATTTGCTACCAAAGAAAGAAGATCTTTCAAATCGAATCGACATGATTAACAAGAAATTAGACGATCAAGTGCATGAAATGGAGGATTTCGAACAGAAAACTGTTGACTTGCAAAACGTTGTTGATGAATGCCGTGGTAAACTGAGAATTCGTGATACACCTGCTCCTATCGATGATGTGACTAAGGATGAGCAAGATCTGTCAGCAATTCTTGTCGCTGTCGATTCAATTCCACAAGAAGATCTTTCACCGAGGAATCAATTGGCTCGAGATGTGAACAATATTAAAGAACAAGTGAAGGTGATTTTCGTTAACATCTGTGTCCTTTCTTTGTAGTGTTTTTCTTTTATGGGAAATTTTCTTTTACGATCAGGGAATCTAGGGTGGAATACTTTCAGGGTCAATTGGCAACCTTGCGGAAAGCTCTACCGGATGAAATGAAAGCACGTCAACAACAAGATGAACTCAAGGATCGCCTATCAAGTATTGCTGATGCTTTGACAAGAGTCGATCCTGAGAATTTGGAATCAGCTAAGCAACAAATGGCATCAATTGATACTGAACTACAGAAACTGAGTGGTGTCGCGGATGCGTATCAGCAATTCGCTACCAGCCCATCATCAGTTGTCAGTCACGATGATCTCGATAAGACTCTACCGGAACAAGTGCAGAAGTTGAAGAAGGAATGTGATGAGAAGAAGAAGGATATCGAACAGATTGCGCAGTTGAAGTCAGTTGCGCCTGAGATTCTTCTCATTTCCGAAAGTCTACAGCAACAACCTGAAGATACCACACAATCTCAACGATCAGCAATCAGTGCTTGAGGAACTCGAGACAAAGAAGCAACGTCTTGAAAATCTCATACAAACGATCCCTGTTGGCGAAGCGACGGAAGAGCTGCGACAGAGGAGCGCATGGGATCTGTCGAGACTGAAAGATCTACTGAAAAGGCTTGGTGATTCAGTTGGAGATAAGCTTGCTGCGTTAGCTGCATTCAATGTTGCACGCAAAGATGCTGAAGATCAACTGTTGATGATCACTAGCCAGCCATTGGATGACGAGAAAGGAATAGAGGATCTGAAGAAAGCGACGAATTGCTTCAGATACTGCAGGAACGAGTCCAAGTAGACGGTGACCAGCTAGATGACGAGCAACGCGATGAATATTCCAGCCTACTTGATCGCCTCAGGCGGTTGCTCGCGGTCACTAAGGTATGCTAAAAGATGGAGTTTTTTGGAACACTACCTTCTGGTATCTTAATGTAGCAACTAACATGTCCTTCATTACTCTTGATGGTAGGACTCTTAGTGGTTGTGGTTGGAAATAACAGTGTAACTTTTTCTCTATAAGAGTTCTGAAAAGTAACGACCGGTGAAACCAAAAGAGGCCATGGAATTTATCTTTGCTTCGTCATGTTGTGGTAATATCTCAACCATATGAGCTTTTCGTGTCCAAAGGTGCACCAATACATTGAAATCACAGCAATAGTGGCTCCATGTAGATGTTGTTTCATCAGCTTTCGGCAAATGGTCCTTTTTCCAAGTTAAATGGTGCTATCACTATGGAAGAATAGGAAGAATGTGTGCGTCGCAGAAATCGGATCCGTGGATGTGTGTGTATGTGTGTGACATGAATGAGTACCAGTTGAAATTTGTTAAAGACCTATATATTCTTCTAATATCGTTTGGGATTAATATTCTGGACAAAGCGCTGATGTATGTAATCTTTGTGGTGTTTTCAGCAACGTCGAAGTGACATGGAAATGGAAATGGCTCGACGTGCAGCCGATGAAGAACTGAGAAATGCTATCACACCAGTATCTGTTCGCCTTGTTGAACTTGTAAATGATGCTGATCGATTGCTGGCAGATCCCGAAGGAGTACCAACGCAATATAGACTAACTGCTGATGAGCTTATTAATGAATGTAGAAAAGCTGGTGAACTTCTGAGAAACGCACCTGCGGCTCATCCTTCTGTGGAATTCCTCGAAGTTGCACTCTCATCTGCTGAGAGAGTAATTCCTGTTTTACATGAGCGTGCGAACATCTGGAATGTATTCGTGAAAGTTCGAGACGATGCCACGAAAATACTGGAGCGGTAGATGCAAATCTTCCACGATTACAACCGGGAGCCGCACTCCTATCTACGTCAGAAGGAGAGGATCTCCTAAACTACTTGAAAGTAATATAAATATTCTGGCATCTTTATTGCTTGTAACTATAAATCGTTAATAACTTCCAACCTTTGCAGGAAATGTACGGTGACATCGAGCGGCTTCGTACTGCAGAGAAGCAGATGAATGAGCTAGCGCTTCTTTTGCGGCCTCTTTTGCAGCCGCAGCAAGAAATACGCTTCTTCACTGTCGATCAAGAAAATACAGAGAAACATTATGAGGTGACTGATGTGCACCTTTCTAATACTCATCGACATGATCATTGCGCTCCGTTTTTGTCTCAGTCTTATTTTCCTTCTTCGTATAACTATGGGAAAGGTTCATACAAGAGGCTCACTGCCGAAGCACAACTAAACCGCACCCTTGAGATTCTCACTACTGAACTTACTCAATGCAGCGAGGAGCTGACATCCGCCACTGGACTAAAAGACCGTCTGGTTGGTTTTTTTTCTCTTGTGGAGATACGCCACGGCCATTCCTTTTCCTCTTCGTATATAACACTGCATCGAAAGAGCGGGTTGACCAACAGAAGGTAGGTGATGATTCGATTCAGTGCAACTCTTGCCCATTGGGATTCCCGAGATTCAATTTAAATTGCATTCCCTCCTTTTCTAGAGTCGGTTTCCCAGTCCAATAGTTATGCTATGTTCGATTTATTCTTTACCGAGTATCTCTTTGTATTCTAACCCGCCTTCACACTCGGCGAAAAAAACGCGTCAGTGGAAACGGTTCAACCCGTAAAATGAGAACCTTTTCTTCCGATTTCCAGGTGTACAAAACGAGATTATTGTTGTCGTTCTCCTGTCTCTTAGACAAACAGGCTAGAGCTAACGGCAGGGAGCCAGCTACCGATGCGGCAGCCGAATCATCCGGGAAAAAGCGGGTAGGGTCACTAACGCGTAAGACGTCAGGGAGCTAGACCATATTACGCCGTTACAGGCGCACGCTTCTCTGCTAAGGGGAACGTTTTATTCTCCTAGATGCCCAGAATCTTTGCAGTAGCAGAATTTTCCTATTCGACAATCCATTTTATAGTATTACCTGCTTTTGATTGCAGCTATTGGTTTTGTGGCTCTTTCAGTTCAGATCTACCTCCCTTCTTTTCTAATAATAATAATGGCAATGGGAATCATGGCATGGGAGCCAAGCAAGCCCCTAGAAGTTAAAGGCAGCAATGCGATAAAAATCTGCGAGGGGGGGGGTGGGGGGGGGGGGGGGGGGGGGGGGGTCGTGTATAGAGTGAAAGCAGACTACAACAGCGATTGCGCTTAGTTTGGACCATGACGCCGGAGACCAAGAAAGAGTTCTTTTTTTACGTATAGCTCTGGTAGCCCACATCGGTAAAACACCATAACAAGCTTGAATACTACGTACCTGCCAGTTAGGCGGCACGTTTCCCCACAAGTAGGCCACAATGCTTCCTTGTCTCAGGCAAAGCTTACCCCGATTTTTGCATATATTTCCATGCTGCACACACAGTTCATCGTAATCGCTCATTTTAACTTGTCTAATAGCCAAGCATATGGTAGGCGCGTGAGGTGCCTGCTAAGACGCCTGTCCTTGACGCAGCGTGGTAGTATTTCAAAGCTTTTTCATCTGAAATGGTTCGAATTATTAGGTTGGAAAGAAAGTTCTGCAACACTCTTTCTGAAAATTTTCTTTTTTAAAAATCATAGGTAACATTTATGACTAACAAATGGTAGAGCATTCTCGGGCTTTATCCACGAGGTGGATATAAGTGCTGCAGTCAGTAGTTATCCAAGAAAATTCAAAAAACCTCGACCACTAGTAAATCCATACTCCGAGTCACTGTCTAGTACAAATGTCTACATAACTATGGATTCGTGTCAACGACTGACACTATCTGCAATAGCTTCAATAGGCATGCCGTTCACCGCTACAGCGTGTTTCACCTTTACCAGCGCTTTCGATCTTTTGATATTTTATAAGAAGCCAGCAGCGTCCCGCACACTCCATTACAGGTAGGGCTCTTACAGAAGCTCCACTACAAATTCTTCGTTATGGGCACCATTGTGTAGGTAGAGGTCTAGGCTGCGAACAACTTCAAAA